ATTTATCTTATGCAGGTGTAGGGCTATATCAATTTAAAACTTCCAAGTTTAGGAAAATCTTTACTTTTAAAGCCAATTTCATCTATGTTATTCATGTAACAATTCCTGCACGCTCCTTTGTTAAGTGAGGATTGTCATTTGTTAGGCGAGCACCTGTTCGCAGCTTCCTGCCAGCTTCCAACAACCAAAGGCAGTGGGGAAGCAGGCAAGAACTTGCAAGTCCCAGGGAGTCCGCAAGCAGGCAGATAAGTGGTTGCTGCCAGGTGGTGGGGCTCTAAGTAGTGAGGGAGATATGGCACAAGCACTGTGGTGTTTAGGGTTGCTGCTGCCAGGAAGAGGAGCTGGGGCATGAGTGCCCTGGGGCTTGAGATGGCTGCTGCTGAGTGGGGGAGTAGGAATGATGGGGGAGGCATGAACAGTGCAGCAGAACTTGGAGTGGCTGCTGCAGGGTAGGAACAGGTGCACAAGTGATCAGGGAGACGCAGTGGAAGAAGCACAGCAAGGCTTGGGAAGGGTGCTCGAGGGTGTGTGGGTGGCCAGCTAGGAGCAGCACAAGCATAAAAGGGTTGGGGGAGGTGCATGGGTGGAGTTGCCAGTACCCAAGGAACTTGTAACTTTCCCTTGACTTTGCTTGTGGAAAGTCAACAAGAAAGATTGCAAATTGTGACCATGGGACGCTGCAACTGTCATAAGTGCAACCTGGTTACCAAGTGTCCAGATTTCGATCATGTGACTGCAGGGGTGCTGGTACGGTTGAAACTTTGAACACTGGTCGTAACCACTACTTGATCAGTGCCGTAGTATTTTTGAATAGCCGCTGAACAAGTGGTTGTTAACCAACAACTGCCTGTTTACAAGTAAACTGGAAAGAAGTTTTAAGGATATTGAACTGGACTGTAACTAAGGGCACCAAACTTTAATTTCTCAATTGAGCGTTAAGTTCATTAAATGACTGTAGGTCACTATTTGTCAGCCCAGACCCCCTTGCAGAGTTGTTAGGAAAATAAAATGGAGGTGACCCCTGTATATAGAAGTTGCATTCAGATTTATATACCATCCCATGGCACTTTACAGCACTCTCTGGGTAGTTTACATTGTAGAGCATTGTTTGCATATTGCCCCAACAATTTGGCTCCTAATTTTACAGAAGGACAGAAGGCTGAGTCAGCCTTGAGTTCTGTTCAAGATCGAACTCAAAGCTGTGGACAGAATTTTCCTGCATTACTGCACTTAACCAATGTGTCATCAGGGCTCTGGATATAATACTGAAATCTTCAGAGGAAACACATTATAAGTGTAAAAGGCAAATGAAGTTAAACATCAGTCTGTTTTGATCAGTTTGACTAGATCAGCTGGTCACTAAATTTTGTGGTGATAGGTGGATTTGGAGAATGTTGGGACCAAATTGAGGGTGTTCCTCACAGATGTTAACAGAGAGGTCTTGCTGTTCATAGATGTCTGTTCTGAGAGTTTTTGATCAGTAACACAGCATCAGTTTTCCTTAAAGGCAAAAATCACCCATCACCCTAAATATTCCTTGGAAATGGGGCCTGAGCTCTCATGGTTGTGAATTCAGTCTTCTGTTCCAACATCCAATACACTGACGGTCAAACCGTCAGTAAAAGGAAATGCAGGCAAAATGTATTTTTTGGGTGCAGAGGCAATATATGGCTATCAGGAAGTGTATGTAAGAGTTAAAAAGACTGAAGAATCTATTGGTTTAGTATCGCTTTACACAATTTCAAAAATTGTTATTCCTTTTTAAGGGGACCCTTATAAGAATATTTGATACGTCATCTGGGCATTTAATTCAAGAATTGCGCAGAGGATCTCAGGCTGCCAATATATACTGGTAAGTTTTGCTTTGCTGAGTAATCACTAGAGAATTAGAGAATGTAGGAGTGACAGAGATTTTTTTAACTGCACATGGAGAGGATGGTTCCTGTGACATTGAATGTAAACTATTTAAATATGCCATTTCCATTTATGATTTGTTAACGTTTAAAATTATTTATTGATTCATACTTGTCCTAGCTGCCCAATTCCAACAGATCAACAGTTAAGTAAGAAGTAGAATGTCTTTAGAAAGCAACTTGTTCCATGACAAACGTGGGATAAAGAGATATGTCGCTTCTGATCTTTCTATTAGTATAAACTTCAACCAAGATGCTTCTCTTATCTGCGTGTCAAGTGACCACGCCACAGTACACATTTTTGCTGCAGAGGATCCCAAAAGAAATAAACAATCAAGGTAAGGGGGCTGGGGCTGGGTCTAGCAGGATTTACGTCTAGTTAAAAATGACCGAGAAAGTTTGGTAGAGATTATTTGCCATGACAGTGAAAGGAAATCTTTATGGATGTTATAACTTTCTCTTGTTTATGGAACTTGCTCAACTTACATCTGGCTTGGACGGAAACTCCAGATTGCTGATAAGGGGTGGTGGTAGGAAACCTGTGCATCTACATGTACAACAGTTTCTACATTACTAACTACCAACATGGTTTCTGATTCAAGTGCAAAAGTTCGAGTTATGGCATCTTAAGCCATACAGATACATACAAGTGTTCACAATATCAACCTTCTTTCTAGCCTACTCCCATTCCGAAAATCAGAGAAATATCTTAATGTTTACTATTGCATGTCATGCTGTTGTCTACTAGGACTCTGCAGCAATCCGGCTATGAAGGGAAATTCTCATTCAGAACATATGTAGGTGCATATATAGGCACCTATGAGCATCTCCCGAAAAAAAACCCAACTTTTTGTCCCATGTGAGCCCAAGAAAAAACAATCACGTTTTCCCCTTTGCATCTGGATCACTACATTATCCTGGCTGCCATAAGTGGGCAAGATTTTGGTATTAAGTTAATTTACTTGCTGAAAGCAACTACTGTTCTCTACCCTTGATACATTGTTAACTGTATTCTTATGTGGTTTTGTCAGCCAACTTTAGCACCATTTATACATAAAAGTTTGGGTGGTAATTAAATAAGCTTATATAACCAATAAATAACTGAAACAATTGCAACTGTCAGCAGCTGCTAGCATCTATTTTATTTCTGTGCCTGACTTCAGTAGGTACTCAAGGATTTTTTTTTAATCTCTTAGCTTAGCATCAGCCAGCTTCCTGCCCAAATATTTCAGTTCCAAATGGAGTTTTTCCAAGTTTCAAGTTCCCTCGGGCTCTCCCTGCATCTGCGCCTTTGGAACAGAGCCGAATTCTGTCTTAGGTAAGGGTCCTGATTTAATAAATGCTAAATATATACCTTTATTATATATATATATATTTATTTATTACACACACATATACTAAAGTCCTCAGTACTGCAGAGTAAAGTCTTTGAGATTCCAGTATAAAAAGTTACATGAATTATGAAGCTGTTAAGGATGGAGCAAGCCATGCAATAAAATGGAGGTCGGTATAAATAATCCTAAAAATTTAACTTGATGCTCGATGCTGACATCTTCCTCTTCATCACACCTTATATTGCAAATGTGTGATTTCTATAATTGTTTTCATAACAATGACTTCAAAAGCCTCTGTCTCTCTCTTTTCCTAGCAATCTGTGCAGATGGCAGTTACTACAAATTTTTATTCAATCAAAAAGGGGAATGCTCCAGAGATGTCTATGCTCAGTTTCTAGAAATGACTGATGACAAACTTTGACTGGATTGTTGGAAGTATGGTTTGGTGGGGCAAGTTATCAGAATCCCCATCCCAATTCTTCTCCTGTTGAAGAGACAACTTCTGACTTGCTGATTTGATGGCACTCTTCAAGATGGGATTGACCTGGTCAACAATTGGAACAAGGCAAAGGACTGGTGTTAGCTCTCCACAGTTGGTTTTAAGTGTTACTTTGGCAGCTGCTGTTCTTTTCCTCTTCAAGTTTCAATATGAGGATTCTCTCTGTATCATGAAATTGCGTACCTGCCACATTATAAAGCTGGAAAGAAAAGTTACTAGAGTTTTGATCAGTTGAAGACTCTTCAGATTAGATTCAGCAGGCAGGTCAATTGGAAATGGCGTCCCAGTCATTTGCCTTTATAGATATTGTTTCCTCCTAATTCCCAGAAAGAAACTGTAGCAAAGTTGCTCTGAGTTGCAATTACTCAAAAATAGAACAATCAAGTCTGTTTCCATATTGCTGTGAATAGGTATTCATGTCATGTATCAGAGGTGCCAAATATTCTATAGCAACCAACATCAAGTGCTGTTAACTCAGTGATTCTGCCAGGTAAGAAGTGTCAACAAAGAGGACTTACAAGGCTGTGTTGTCTCCATCTAGAATGTAATCATTCCATACTATTAAAATCTAGTCCTTTGTGTTCTGGTACTTACGTTGGGAAAGAAAAGGATAATAATAAAGTTCTGTGATAGGCAGATGCCAGGCTACGCTTCTATAGCCTCCAAAACTTATGTATTCAGGACACACTAAACTGATGCCTTTTTAGAACTATAAAGTGATAAAGGGACATGCCTAATTTTTCAAAACCCTTGGAACACATGGATGTGACCACTTAATTTTAAATTATCACCACCTTACAGCAGTTTCAATTAATTTCATTTGCACACATGCTTCAAAATTTATTGAAGGCTTAATGCATTCAGCTGTAAAGCATCCAAACTTTTCACTTAATTAAAGCCTATACTCAAATGTGGGTTTGCATGTTGCTTTTAAATGTGTACTTAATCATGAAAGTTATTTTGCACATCTTTTGTAATATTCTTTAATTAAAAGTGACTAATTTACTGTATTCAGTTAATGGTAGCAAAGCTAATGCTAATTTTACTTTTCTTATTCTTAATTTTTGTAAAATGCATTGCCTGAGATTCAACTTGTGCTGAGATTCAACTTCATCCATATCCAGCTCCCACTTAGCACCCAAGATTCAGACCTCCAAAAATGTTTAGGAAGAACCACTTTCTCATTCTTTTATTAAAAATATGAAGTTCTTCCTTCCTCCAAGATTGACAGGATTCAAGAAATACAAATCTCACTTTTTACACATGGGGATTTTATTTTATGAATTTGCAAATTCATCTTGAAAGTACCATAATAGTCTGCTCATACTTTGAAGGGATGTAGTAAAAATGCTGTTTACAATCAAAGTAATGTGTTGATGAACTTGGATTTTCCTATTTCAAAGGGAAAAACTGTTGAGGTAAACGAGTATTAATGCGCTGCACTGAAAGCTTCCTGAAGTTCAACTTCAAGTTACTAATTTCCATTCACACTGCAATCAGTACTGGTTTGGAAATAAACCCTATTTGTAAATAGGGTATTCATGACATGCTAAGACACCACTGGCTACAGCTCTTTTAAAAAAAGGGGGGGCTATGCAGGATCAGAGCTATTCTACAGGAGCTGAGAATGAGCCTCTCCCAATCTTGGTCTCCTTAGTTTCCCCCCTGCCTTCTAGGGACTGGAATACAAAAAAAAACCTGCAAATGGTTTCTTCCTGCAACCACTCTTGCTTCTCTGTTTAGAGGCCCAAGACTAAACCACTACAGTTATTACTTTTCACTGTATTTGGAATTGTTTGCATTCCAGAATTCATATTGATGGGAGAGGACTTTTAAACATTAAATACTGCTATTCAGATGACAGCCATTATTCAATTATCTAAATTTAAACCATGAAAACATTCATTTAGTCATATCAAATATTAAAATAATTCAATGTAACTATAGTGTAATCTGTTTGCCAGGTTTTGATGTCACACTAAGAATACATGATTTAAATTTTCAAATTACATTTGCTACTTATTTCTACATTTTTGCTAAAATTTACACATCCAATTTAAATAAAACTTTTGCCAAATATATAAAGCATAGAAGCTATTCATGAATGCTTATGTTTATGTGACCTAAGAGCCAGACCAACTTCGGGCTACTTTAAGATCAACAACGTTCAGTCAAGCCATTAAGCCTGCTTCATAATAATTCACACAGTAACATGTCCCAGCTCTAAGAAAAAGTATGTGAACCCCTTGGGATTACGTGGAGTTTTGCATGATTTGGTCATAAAATGTGCTCTGAACTCCATCTGTTAACAACAATAGAAAAACACAGTCTGCTGAAAATAATACTACACAAACATTAGATGTTGCCATGGTTTAATTGAACATAACATGTAAACATTCACAGTGCAGGGAGGAAAAAGTATGTGAGCCCTTAGCCTAATGACTTCTCCAAGAGCTAATTGGAGCCAGGAGTGAGCCAACCTTGACTCCAATCAGTGTGATATTGGATGTGTTGCTGACAGCTGTCCTGCCCTTTAAAAACACACACCTGACCAATTCATGCAAAACTCCACGTAATCCCAAGGGGTTCACATACTTTTTCTTGCAACTGTAAACTAGATTTTTCTAGAACAAATTATATTGGCTGAACTTAAGAGTAATTGCCATGTGTAATCAATGTTGATTATACTGAGTTGAGCTTAAATGGTAATTTGGATAAAGGAGACAAATTAGTGGTTCACCAGGTAAAATGACTTAATATCATCTGAATATGCTAGCCATTGGGTTTATATCATTGCATTAAGGCTTAAGCCATTGTATAGTTTGTTTTGTGTTTTAGCATATCTGAACCCATCCAATTGTGATTTATTCAGACAATTCAACCTGCCTGAAACAAGAGATTTGTAAACAAATCTGTTTAATCAATAACAGATAAAGACCTAAATCTCTTGCACATTTCCCTCAATAGAATCATCCTAGGAGTGAGATGCAACTTATTGGGTTATATGTAGTTGGCTTTGCGGTGTAACAATGATTTGCAGTAAGTAGCATGTATATTTATGGGCAGTATCCAATTCGTGTTATATTAGGACCTATAAGGGAGCAAAGGGACACAAATGACAAAATATGTTTGCTATCATCAAATAAACACCAAGACATGTGATTATCAGAATCAAAAACATAATTGTGACGTGATTATATCCCCTATTGCTAAGGACATTAGTGCATTGTTAGATTGGATTCATGCATTGTAGTAATTCATAATAATGGAATTTTATTTGACTTTAGCTTAACATACTGTACAAACCCAACTGCTAGTTCCTTGGCTGCTTAAAGGGAAAAATGCTTAAAAGTACATAGGGTAAAAAGTAAATTCAGCAATTCTAGTAAGATTCTATTTTTTTCTTTTGTGTCTTTGAATCAGTCTTGACTTCTGGTGACTGCCTATACAATTCCTTGCAGTTTTCTTGGCAATATTTTCAGAAGTGATTGCCATTGCTGCCTTTTTCCTAGGGCTGAGAGGGTTTGCCTGGTCCAAAGTCACCCAGCTTGCTTCATGTCAAAAGTGGGATCAAGATTCATATTCTCAAGAGTTTCTTACCTGATGCCAAACTCGCTCTTGTAATAAAATTCAGCACGCTGCAATTTGAAATATTCTAAATTTCATGTGCTATTAGGTATATGCACTAAGAAATTCAATTGACCTACATTATTTTTTCATACATATCAGAGGATATTTAACTGTATTTATGAATTACAGCTGTTAAACTCAATTCTTAGTGACTGCAGAGCCAGGTTAATGTAGTTTTGTTGACAAAATTTTGCCATCAATTTCCATGGGATTTTTTTTTTCTTTTTGGATGCCTCGGTGGAATCTATAATTTTGGGACTTTTAAAAAAAAATGATTTCTCATCCAACTACAAAGCGCTGACATTGCTTAGCCTTTTATGAAATCATCATGTAGAAATCTAATAGCTGACACTATATCTGCTGTTTCCTGACACTGAATTTACTCCAATGAACTACTGCTATGATGTATTACCAATAAAAGATCAGATTTCTTCATCTATGAAACAGTAGCCTTACTCCCACATGCCCTAGTATTTGAAGGACAACTAAAATTGTATCTGTCATTTAAAATGAACTTAATTAACAATAATCTAAAGTTGTTTAGGTTATCTGGAAACCAAAACAAAGCTGCAAGTTCAGTAATTCAGTACAATCGGCTGTTAATTCAATGATTCTTAAAATGTTTACTCCAATTAACCTTTTCCCATTCTCGAATAAGGCCATTACCCCAACAAAACCCTCAAACTCATCTTACAAAACTATTCGGCAGCAGCAGTTCCAAACTGACTCCTCAACTCACAAACGAGCAATTAAAAATTGTTCCATTACCCAAAAGGTATGTCCAAATCATTAGAGAGACCCACTGTGTAAATATTTACTGATACTATATTCTGATTTTCTGATATTCTATTCTTTATTATTTTAAGAATTACGTATACTTTTTCATTGTACCACTAATTAATTTTAAATCTTGTGCTTTCTGGAAAAAACCCAGCAATAACTCCCCTCATTATTAGTGGATGATAAGCAATATTACTAGCCTATAATTCTATAATTGCACATCTTAGTTCCCGCTTTGTATGTGTACTTATCCTACAATGCAACATGAATGAAACAGTTATAACATTAAACTAAGATTTATCCAGTGTTTATTTTCATACAAACTCTTAGGTTATAGAAACCCGAGTGTTAAAATTTTGGTAAGAAAAAAGAGCAATATTTGCAGAAAAAGTTCCCAACTTTAAGTATGGCTGTTTTTTCCCCCCCCATCTGCTAGGCAGATGGAATTATTTTTAAATAAAGCTAAGACAAGTATCTCAAACATCCATCACAAAAGTAATTTGGAGATCATAGCACTGTGTTCATGTACACAGCTTGACTCCTGCCCTGAATGAAGGTTATTTTCACGTCTCCCAATATGTCCTCAAAATCTGAAACATGGGTTTTCCTAAACTTCTGGAACAGATTTGGACAGCTTGGGGGGAGGGAGGAGGAAGAAAGTATTTGTTGTCATAGCAGAAGAGCTATGGCATCAGAGGAGAAAGTAAATCTGCCCTATAACTTACTCTTCAGCATTCAAATATTTCTAAGAGTGAAATAACAGGCAAAAGCAACAATTTCTGGAACATCTTGCTCAGGTTTAAAACAGCCATGAAAGCAGAAAAAGAAAGGTTAGCAACAGGTAAGAGCAATAGATTTAACAGAGTCTTCAAATTAAATTCTTTTGGTAAACTTCTCTACCTAGTTCATAAACTACAAAGACTACAGTGACATGAGAGAACTTCCAAATCTAAATCATATGATTGTCTTAAACATTTTACCAGATTTTTTTATTCAAAAACTTGCAGTATTTTTCCTAATTATTCATGAAATAGTAATTTTATAACCAATGTTTTATTAATAATGCAATATTACTTCTTAATTAGATGACCACAGCACAAAAAGTAGAATGCTGCAGATACAGAAAATGTTTTGCTTCACCCAGCCTATAGTGGCTGTTATAAATCCAGCTAGTGTACATCAATTTTTCATAATCTGTTTAATATGTATTATCTTCATTGACAGTGTAACAGCAGCTCTACCGTGTGGGATAACATGATACTTGGTACAGATTTGTCATATTTGGTCTTCTGATAAAACATTTCCAAAAACTGACTAAAATTGTAAGCCATTCCAAGCCATTTCAGTCCATCATCAAAATACAGATTCTTCTTGAAATGATAAAAACATATAAATTATAGCCCAAAAAGAAAAAAAACAAAAGACAAATCAAAGGTTAAAGCCCAGTCTTCACCTTTAACTCACCTTAAATATGTGAAAGGGACAAGAAACTATGTGAATTGGACAAAAGAACAGTCTCAGCTGTTAGTTTAGTTCAGTAACAAAACATGAATTCTTCTTTCACAACTCAAGAGAAGAAACCTTTAAAATATTCCAACTGTCAAACACATATAAAAGAAAACTATTTCATTATACTATAGTAGCCACTGTTAGAAAACTACAGTGGCCACTTTTTAATGAAGACCTCACAAGGTCTCTGTAGGACATCAAAAGTTAAACTCATTAAGTTATATTTCTATTGGTGGATGCTTAGCTTAAAAATATTCAATATATCTCTAACAAGATATTTTTATCTTTTTAAAAGGACATGTGATAAAGATTTTTTTTTTCTAAATGAACAGTCTGTCATTTTAAACATACACAATATTATGCGAGACTCTTTTTACTTTAGACTGGAAAAATTTGCCAGGGACAAAGTCAACACAAAGTAACAAACAGCAAAAGATAGCAAGAAAGAGAAACAGATAAGTGCAGCTCTGGTCAAATTCATAGCAGTTCTTTACGTCAGTTAACAGTTCATTTACACTGTATTTCTAATCAGTAACATGCAAGCCCAAAGAAGCATTTGATCACTACACAAGGTAATAAAATTTGATTAAGTTTATCAGGCAACTGCTAAAATATGAAAATTTGCAGATGTAACAAATTAGCTTTATCTGAACTTTTAACAGGACAAAATTAAATCATTCCATTGGTTAAAAAACCCTACATTCGGTTTTACCAAACAAAATTTCACATGAAAAGTAGTATGTGATTCCAAAGTTTCTGGAGTAGAAATGGAGTGATCTGAAATGTCAAAGACCCCATTATTTTGAAAAAAAAAATGAAAGTACACATCAAAATTTTCTAATTCCACATGTGAACAACAAAATACTGCATATCTACCAACAACTGCATTGGGTAGGTCATTATGAAAGGCTAGCTGCCAAGATGTTGGAAATGGCTCCTTGCCTCTGTTCCCTTTGAGGAATATACAATCATTTGAAATCCAATCACGCGAAGAACTTATCATGCTGGGATATATTCCAATATTCAATCTTTAAAATAGGTTTTTAAAGTTGCTATCTTCCCCAACTTTTTCCTCTCAATGTATATGTATGTATAAAGAGTCTCTTCGGAACAGCAAGGAGAAATGGAAGGGGGAGGGGTCACAGCCTCCGGACTAGGATCTTTTAGACTTTTTTTTTTTAAATTAAGGAGTTCTAAGGCCACCTGTGTTTCTCAGTGCTGAAAGATGAAGTCACAGGGCCCCTTTCCCCGCCATGAGAGAACATGTTCAAGAGTTTAGATGTTTAAAGGTCTCATTTTGGCACCAAGGACCATTGTTTTTAAAAGACGTATTCCTCCACATTCCTAGTTCTTGTTGCTTTGTTCATTCACTGCCACAGGTGGGGTTTCAACATTCACAGCTATGACTATGTTCTCCCCATCCTCCGTTTTGATCCGTTTTAAGTCTTGCTGTTCAGACTGATCTCCATTCTGACGTTTCGTTGGAAGAGAGGCGGATGCAGATGCATGAGTTGCTAACATGTGTAATGGACTTGCAGCAGCTGAAAAAGAATTAAAGGGAAGGGAGAGAATATATTAAACCCAGGCAAATCACCACTAACACTTACCCTGAAACAAGGGTTGAAATCCAACAGGTTCTGGATAACCGGTAGCGGAAATTTTGAGCAGTTTGGAGAACCGGCAAATACCACCTCTGGCTGACCAGAGTGGGGTGGGAATGGAGATTTTGCAATATCTTTCCCCTGCCACGCCCATCAAGCCACTTCCACAGAACCAGTAGGGAAAAAATTTTGGATTTCACCCTGCCCTGAAACCAAGTATTACATTACCTAAAATACACAAATCTCAGATTAAAATTTGTCCTAAACTCTTCTAATAAGCTCTACTTTGAATGAATATTTGCAGCACTTAAACTCACCTTAAAATTGTGGAGATCAGCAGTAAATTTCCAATGATGAGTTGGGCTACAAAGAAATAAGTTTGTGTGGCCATATTCAAGGGACCATATCTACGCAGATACAGATAGTCCTCGATTTACAACTGTAATGGAGCCTGCCCATTAAGGTCACAATTGGTGACAACTCTTAAGTGAGGCAGCCTCTGCTCTCCCCATGCCACCATTAAAGGAATGTGAGTTGTTCAATGGTACTTAACAAGTGGGAGAGGCCCTGGGAGCTGCTTTCCAAAGCAGCATGGCAGCCTTTTTGCTGCCTCTCTGACTTCCTTTAGAACCCAGCTTCTACCATGGTGGTTTGGTGCAGGTTTGTGCTTCCAACTTTCTTTCTGAGCTGAACTTTTTCTTCAGCTCCTCAAGGCAAACAAGCTGCAGAAAGATTTTCTTTGCTTGATTTCCTCCTTTCCTATATCTTCATTCAACCTGGCAGTGTCTCACCAAGGTAAGCAAATTACAGATTTTGTCACCCTCTTTCCAGGCATGAAGTAAATTTAGCAAATTAGGTGGTTAAAAGGGATTGAGATGGGGGGGGGGAAAGCAGAGGCAGAGAGTTTAATTTCAGCCTCTAATGGGGGAGGGTCTGTCCCTCCCAGCATTTTGTTTTTGTTTTCTTTCTTTAATAAATGTGAGTTTGGGGGAAGGGGGGTTAAGCAAGAGAAAGCCTTTGGGAAGCTGGTCCTGAAGCTGTTGCCTTTGCAAGCAGGCAGCTGGCTTCTCCAAAGCCTAGGAGAGGTGTGCAATCTCCCAATGGCCAGCTGATCTTGGCAGAAAGCTCTGAAAGCAGCTGCCATTTGTCAGAGGAATTGTCAAAGCACTGAAAATGGTGGCTGCTTTCAGAAGGCATGGGAGCAGGCCTAAGTGGCACAGGGTCCCATATGCTGCAGCCACTGTAAGTTTGAAACAGGGTCATATGTAGTTTAGCAAAAATCTTCCAATTATTCAAATGCCTTAGGACCAAATGCAACAGTTCTTTGGTTATGTCCCTATTGAGAAAATAGCTTTCAGTAGCTTTTTTGATGCTAGGAAGAAACAATCTGGACTACTGCAATAGTTGAAGCTCATCTGAATATGAATCAAACTTCCAAGAAAGCTGAGGGATCTTGTCAAGGCACTTGTCAGGAGTCAACACTGACTTGAAGGCATACATAAAAATGCGACAATGTAAAAACTCAGAATTAATCACTGAAATATAATGATAGAAAAAATAAAATGAGGAGAAATCCAGATATAATGAAAACCAAATGATTGTCAGATTTCTCAGAAAAAAAATAGGCTCAGGTGTGGCTCTGCAATTTCCTTTCCCTTTGATTTTAGGTATAAATGGGATGGAACAGAAGGAGAAAGTAAATCCTTTTCTTTCAAAGTTTTTATCCTATGTTATGCAGTAACTAGATCAGATTTTGTGACAATCTATTAAAAGGAGAAACGAGAGGTGGTAATATCTTGGGGGAAATTGAACCCAGAGAAATCATAACAGACTGTTTACTAACTTTTTTATACATTTATTTGGGGGGTATTAAGAACTGTATTTAGTATTCTTTTCTGGCATCTCATGGCTTCCAAAAAGGATTTTTCCTTATCCACAAAATAAACTAGTTAAAAAAATTGAGCAGGACATTGTGATACACCAGACGTGGATCCAATCTTCTCTTTGACAGTACATGTCTCTGGCAGAATTGCTTCACTAAATGGTTTTCCACAGCAGTGAAATCTGACTGGATCTATCCAGCTCGTGCAAACCGGTAGCACCAGCGGAGGGAGGTTCCACCCATCCACCGGGACATCATTACATCCCGTTTTTGACCGCATGTGCATGTGCATAAGACTCTGCACATGCACAGAAGAGGTGCACGCGTGCATAGTGCATGCTCCCGCGCACTCCTATTCCCCAACCGGTAGCGAAGGTAAGTGGATTTCACCACTGGTTTTCCAGAGTACAAATCAACCAAAACTTCAGCTGATTATTCTCCCATCCCCAAATCATCTGCAGCCATCATTAGATCTTTTATGCTTAGGTTTCAGTAGTATTTGTATATTTCAACAGTATGGCCTTCACCTAAGCAAGAATTCTGAATGAGGGGAAAAAAACATTTAAGTAAGTAATGCAATGACAGAGTTAATAACTGCATGGGAAGTCATCATTAAACAATGCAGTTGTCAAGTGCAATAATGTGACTGTGTCATTTAGGGACACTTTATTCTGACACTTCTAGTAGTGTCATTAAACAAATCCCCTGCAGTTCTTAAACAAGGATATTATATAGTTGCCACTTGTAACTTGCTGCTAGCCTTCCCATTGTCTTTGAATGTTGAAAGCAAATGAGGTTGGAAATCATGATCACATTACTGTGGGATGCTGTGATTTTGTAACTGTGAGCTAGGCAAGTGACCATGGGGACACTGCAATGACCAGAACGTCAAGAACTGCTCATAAGTACTATTTGTTTAGCACCCTTGAAAATTTGAACAGTTGCTGAATGAGTGATCATTAACTGATGATCAACTCTATATGGGAGAAGTGACCAAAGATCTCAATATTGATAACAAACATTTGTGCAGTGAACTGGACCCAGATATTCTGTAAAGTGAGGTTAAATGAGCCCTAAAAATATTGCTAATAACAAAAGTGCTAGTGTTATAAAAAACAGCAGAACTATTTAAAATTTACAAGAAGATGTGCTATTTACAATGTATAAATAGGTCTGGAAACCACAACAGTAGCTGAAGGACTGGAAAAGATAATTTTATATTCCAGTACCAAAAAAGGACAATGCTAAAAAATTCTTAACAACTGAATTTATCTCATATGGCTAGGTAGTATTCATGTATTTGTAATCCAAACTTTAACAATACATGAAATGAGAACTAGAAATTTGGACTATTGGAATGGCTGAATAAAGAATATTTGATGCCTCTGAATTGTAGCGCTGGAGGAAAAAGCTGAGAAGGGGCGTTGGTCTTACCCGATACGCTTCTTCTTGTTGTGTGGAAATAGCATCCATGAATGGGTTATCCTCATCTGCTAGCCAATAGGGCTGAGTCTGTCAAAGCTCTGAGGACACTCCTACCCCAACGGTCCCCAGCTTTTGGCGAAGGTATAGAAACAGACCCAACATGCCTCGGTCATAAGTTCTTCCTCCGATGGACCAAGGGCCAGCCTGGCATCAGGGTGGGGCTGGATGCTATCTCCACGCAATGAGAAGGAGCGTATCAGGTAAGACCAATGCCCCTTCTCCATTGCAGTGGAGATAGCATCCAGGAATGGGACATACCAAGTGGTCTTGTCCTTACAGGTGGGCCGCAGCCTTGTCCGAGGTCCCCTCATCACATGCACCCTTTGGAGGACCTGCCTACCAAAGGCTGCCTCAGCCGAGGCATAGCTGTCCAGTTTGTAGTGCTAGACAAAAGAGGATGGGGAGGACCATGTAGCCGCACGGCAAACCTCTTCCAGAGAGGCTTGCATTGCCCACACCGCACTTGTGGCTGCACTCCTTGTGTATAGCGTGCCGTTATACTCTTGGGCAATGGAAGGGCCTGTATCTAGTATGATTTGGCGATACACGCCCAAATACAGCAGCCCAGGGTCAATGGTGTGACCTTTATTCCTAGGGAGGCTGGCTGGAACGACACAAAGAACGACTCTGTCTTCCTGAAAGTGGAAGTTCATTTGATATAAATCCAGAGTGCCCTCCTGACATCCAGCATATGCTACTTCTTTTCCAAGGCATGCACTGGATTGGGGCAGAAGTTGGGCAAATTAAGCTCCTGGGCCCTATGGAACCATGAGTTCACCTTTGGTATGAAGAAAGGGTCCGAATGCAAGATCACTCTGTTAGGGTGGAACACAGAGAGATCTCTCTGGATGGATAGTGCCGCCAACTCCGATATCCATCAAGCCCATGTTATGGCTACCAGGAAGACCACCTTGCAGGTCAGGAAACGCAATATGGCCTCTCTCTGTGGTTCAAAAGGGGCCTTGGTCAGCGCCTGCAGTACCTTAGTGAGGTCCCAAGTAGGGTATCGGTGAACCACTGGAGGCCGTAGGTTCGTTGCGCCCCTGATGAACCTGCGGTCTGGTGTTGAGCAAGGAACCCCCCGCAAGTAAGGACCGACGACAGGGCAGCCATCTGGCGACGGATCGTGTTGGGCGATAGCCCCTTGTCCAACCCCACCTGAAGAAACTCCAGTATCTGGGGCACGGACACCGAAGTAGGATTCAAGCGCGACCTGGAGCACCAGAAGCAGAATGCCTTCCAGATCACGTCATAGATTATGTTCGTGGAAGCCTTCCTTGAGGCTTGTATGATGTCTATCACCTTGGAGGAATAATTGTCCTAGGTCAGAGACCTCCACTCAAACGCCAGGTGGTCAACTGGAACCATTATGGGCCCGGGTGGACCAAGGCCCCCTGGCTGAGGGAGACTGTCCGGAGGTATCCTCCAAGGGCTGGCCACCGAGAGGGCGACTAAGTCAGCAAACCATGGTTGCCATGGCCAGTGCGGAGCCAGAAGAAGCACCTCCGCCCGTTCCACCAAAATCTTTCTTACTACCCTTGGGATGAGGGGAAGGGGGGGTAAGCTGTAGAGGAGCCCCGATGGCTAAGGGCTGCGAAGCGTATCGGTCCCTTCTGTTCCCGGAACCACAAACCTCGCAAAAAACATTGTCAGCTGAGCTTTGTCCATGGTTGCAAAGAGGTTCACGACTGGTAGTCCGAAACGCTCCGTCAGCTCTTGAAATAAAGCTGGATGCAGGCACCACTCTGCATGATAAACTGTGGCCCTGCTGAGCCAATCTGCCTATATATTTGTGGCCTCTGAAATGTGCTCTGCCTGTAATGACAAATGGAGCCTGTCTGCCCAGACACATAACCTCTCAGCTTTTCTCATAAGGGACCTGGACTGGGTTCCTCCCTGCCTGTTAATATGTGCCTTAGCAACCACATTGTCGGTCAGAACTAAGACATCCTGCCTGACGCTATAGTCTGGAACTGTCGAAGGGCCCGATGGATTGCCCCGAGTTCCAACCAGTTTATATTGTGGCTCAGGTCAGTCTGCGACCACTGCCCTTGGGCCAGTCTATCTTGGACATACGCCCCCCAGCCAAAGTCACTGGCATCTGTCATAACCGTCAGATGCTCCAGCTCTTTAAAGATACATCCCTTAGTGATTGCTGGGGAATCCCACCATTCCAGGGAACTAATCACCTCCGGTGGTAATCTAACTTTGGATAGGGAAGTGCTCCTGCCTGCCCTTTGGTGAGGGAGGAGGAACCATTGGAGAAACCTGGCATGCAGGCATGCCCAAGGCATGATGGAAATGCAGGACACTATGTTACCCAGGAGTTACAAGTGTGTGGTTAGAGACACCATACGGTCCGTCCTGATCTGGCCCACCAATTCCCTTATGCTCACCTATCGCTCCTGGGAGAGGTGCACCTTGCATGCCAGGGTGTCAATCTCCGCACCTAAATGTAGTAACCAGTTAGTTGGTGATAAATGGCTCTTGGTGGTGTTAAACCCATGGTCCTGAAGCACCTGGATAGTGATTCTGAGATCCTCCCACGCCTGGAGTTCAGAAGCGGACTGGATCAGAATATCATCCAGGTAGTACTGGACCCGTACAGGGAGAGTCCGTAGGTGCGCAGCCAAGGCAGCTAGTAACTTTGTGAAAGCCCTGGGCGCTGAAGATAGGCCAAAAGTCAGTGCCGTATACTGATAGTGACAGCCTGCGTAAAAAAACCTTAGATATTGCCTATGGCCTGGTAAAATCAGGACATGGAGATAAGCCTCTGTGAGATCAATAGAGGTGAGGAAGTCGCCCTCCCTGTGCCGTCCAAGATGGACTGAAGTGAGTGCATTTTGAACTGCCTGTAGATGACAAGGTGATTCAGCCTTTTTAGGTCCAGAATTGCCCTGTACCTTCCCCCCAAGGGTTTTGAAATTACAAAGAGGATGGAATAGAATCCCATCCCATTGGTCTTCAGGAACTGTCTAGATCGCCAGGATCTCCAACAGATATTGAATAGCAGTTTCCGTAAGTCCCCTTTTGACCTTGTTCCCCGAAACAGGGCAAGGAATAAAAAACCTCGGAGGCGTGGAGAGGAATTCTAAGGATAGGCCCAACCAGACCGTCTCCCGAACCCATGCATCTGTAGTAGTGCTCTCCCATTGTCTGTCAAACTTGGCCAGGAGTCCCCCAATAGGAGAGCCGGAGATATAATTATTTCTGGCGTCTGAAAGAACAGCTTGCTCCCCCTTCGAAAGGGCCGTTTAGGGGGAAATTGCTGCTGGTCCTGCTGCTGGTCCTGCCTTTGCATAAAGGGGCGCTGTGGTCTCTGCGGCCCAAACCCACTATCTGGCCCTCTAAAGAACTGGCGGCGGAAATAAGGCTGTGGGCAGAAATCCGGTTGCCAGGAAGGGGATGGGAGGATCTTACATTTGTCCCGCGATTCCACCAGTATAGGATCCAAGGAATCTCCAAATAACTGCTCCAAGAATGGGGCGAAGGCCAGTTGCCAGTTATGTTGGGCATCCGCCTGCTACTGGCGGAACCACAGGAGTTGCCTGGAAGCCATTGTAGAGGCTATGGTTTTAGATGCGAACCATGCCGTGTTGAGCGTGGTGTTTGCAGAAAATTCCATGGCATCTGACAATTTGTTCAGGTCCTGATGAGACAGTACATCAGTCACAGGAATTCTGTCCTGCAGTTGCCTCAGCCAAATGAACAACACTCTATTAAAGAAGGATGCTGCAGTGGAAGCTTTTACAGTCCAAGCGGCCTGGTGGGCCTTCCTTAAGGACTGCTCCGCCCGTCTGTCCTCAGGCTGGAGGATATCCTCTGGTGAATATGACATTATGGGGAGCGCAGCTAAAGCTGCCACCGGGGCATCCACCGCATGCCCCTGAAGTGCCCTGGACAAGTCTGGGCCTACATTGTAGAAACTTTTGTCCAGCGAGCTGGAGTTTGCTCCTGCCCCCGGAGGTCTGCTGCCTTTGCACTACGTCCAAAAATATTCTGGGCAAATGCACCATCTCAGCCTCTGCCATTGGTTATGAAAACAATGAGCCCACAGGTTCCGCTGTATCAGGTGGCGGCTCTGGACCTGGCAAATGTCCAGCCCGTGTGCCGTGTTTCTAGCCTTGTGCAGCAAGGATTTGAACAAGGCTGGCCGGAAAAGACCAGTGAAAGCTGGCTGATAAGGTATTAAGCCCTCGTCTTCTGAAAGTTCTAACTCCCTGGGCATCTCTTCCTCTGAGGGTGACTGATTTGAGGAAGCAGGGGAATATGGCTCCTACATGGGCAAAAAGTCCCCCGAGGCCTGGGGCCTCAGGGGGAAAGCCAGGGGCAAGGGATGGTAAGAACTAACTGAAGCAGCTCTCTGGCTTTGCTGTAAACCGGCTGCTATCCCCTTTTGCATGGCCTCAGATATTAAGGCTTCCATGCCAGAAGGAAATTGAAATTCCTGGGCTTCCCCTGAGCGGATTCCCACTGCAGTCGGGGTAAAAGTTGAGGAAGCCCTTTGCCTTGAAGGCTGTTGCCAGGCAGAAGAGGTAAAGGAAGGGTCTGGATATGAGCCAAACTGTGACTCACTGTTGCTGGGCAGAATGGCTTCAGCTGTCAAATGCTGCTCTCCAGCGCCATCTGGAGATAGAGCCTGTGGAGGCCTGCTGTCAAATGCCTCAATTTGCCCCAATGTTTGTCCTTCATCTTGGCAGGAAACTGCCTGACTGAGGGCTGGAGGCGCTTTCCTATGGTCAGCCTCCTTCAGCACCCTGGCCACTTCCCGATCGATGGCCTTCTGGCACCTTGCTGTCTCTCATTCTGCAACCTTAGTAGGTCTGGCCATGACCCTGGAGCTCTGTGACAGCTTTGCTCTGGCTTTTAGGCTTGCGGGCCTTGATCCCGAGGCCCCAGAAGCCGCTCCGTCCTTCCTTGCCCTGTCCAGGCTCTTCTGCACCAAAGTGGTTTCATTCTGAAGTTCCCGCCGACCAGGCTCACCTTGAAAGGCGGAAAGAACGGCGGCAGGCAGCAATTTGGGAATATGTCTGGCAACTGGACAGGAACTCGATCGTCGGGGGCTCCTCTGATTACGCAGTGGCGGCAGTCTTGATGACAATCTGAAGCTCACCTGTCAGTTGGCCTCCCTCAGTTAATGGCGGAGCTTCAAAGCTCTCACCAGGAGCGCTGTTTTGGCTCCGCAAAAGCCCCAGCTAGCACTGCAAGCAAGCTCGACTGGCTGCCTTGTCAGAATTACCTCCTGGTGATCTGACCTGATGCTGAATGGCCCTCAGCGGGCTCAAGCTAAAAGCTCTTCACACTGTATTAGGTGGTGGTACAGCTGTCAAGGATGTGAAGGAGCTGTTCTGTTGGCAGTATAGCAGTGAAAAAGGTTGGAGAAGGATCCAGGAATAGGAGACCTAGATAAAAGCATGTCTGTCTTTAGCTAAGACTGAGTCAAAAGCTGGGGCCCATTGGGGTAGGCATGTCCTCACAGCTTGTCTGATCCAATCCACTGAATGAAAAAGACTGACAGGAACAAGCAGTGGGCGGGACTAGGACTGCAGAGGAAAAAATGATGAGGACTCAGTATATCCAATCACACTTCAAACAACCCATATGTAGGATTGTCGGAGCAGCGAGTCAGGAAAAAGGTACTGATGCTTAAAAAATCTGAAGGAAATTAAAAAGTAAGGTAACAGAAAACAAGGTACTTAGATAATATCACCACTGAGCTCATAAGAACTCAAAAAGTAGTCACTGCTAGGCAATCCTAGCAAAATGACATCCACAATTTGCTATTTATCACACACAATTCTCCCCCATCCTCTTTAATGTCATGGCAATGAGGAACTTCTACTCACTTAAAAGTGACTTAAAATGTCATCTGAATCTTCAAGATTAATGTTAAATTATTGAAAAGCCAGCAACTTATATCAGACTTTGTTAACTTTGAACATACACATTTCAATCAATCTAAACAAAGAAGTTCCCCAACATCTTATGGCATTGTAGGAATCAGGACATAAGTTGAAGACCTGTTCATGTAAGATTAAATGATAACACAGCATTTCACACACCTATTAACAACTTCAAAATAATATTACAAGTATTACTAAATATACAATCTTTAGTTGTATTTTTTCACATTTTCATTACATGCATTACTTCAAAATTTCAAAAGCAATTTCATATAACATGGACATCTATTCTTCAAGAAGTACATTCCCCAGAGACTTTTTTTTGCCAATCAGAACTACTTATGCAATGCCAGTTGCTAATTTAGTATGGAAGAAAAACAAGATAGGCAAAAATGATTATGATAAGACGTATTAAGATTTAGACTACAAATAAGACCCAAATAGAAGTTACATGTAGTTAATATTCAACAATATGAGGAAACACTGATGAATTTATTTTGGATATTATTTTTACAATAGGTAATTTGTGACGCTTAACATTCAATTTAAAATGCTTACCAGCGTTAGCCTGACTCTGCATTGCTGTGGTGATAGGTACTATGTGTGTTCCGTTTTGCGTTACAGTTTTTATTGGTAGCTGGTGTTGACCTAGAGGTGCTTGTTGTACTAGAGTAACCGTTTGTAACGGTGTAGTCTGAGATGTCTGAATGATGCGACTGGCAGCTCCTAGAGTTGTATGGCTAACTGCAGGTACAGGTTCCACTTTAACTAGAGAGAGAAAAATTAGGTAAATGTTTGAAATGGTAAAAGTTGCAAGTAAACATCAAAGTTCTTTTATGATATATAAAAGAAATTAGCATGAAATTTCAATAAATCATTATATTATTTTTACCTTTCATTTCATTGTGATCTCCATTCTCTTGAGGTTCTCCTTTAGGCTGGGCCATCACTGTAGCTTGTGTAACCACTGCTTGCCCAGCTACAGTATAAGTATTTGCTGGTGCTAATCCAGTCACATTTGTGACAGATACAGCTGGGATTTGATGAACAACATGAACCGTCTGTACTACAGGCTGCTGGGACGTTGATGTTGTCACAGGAGTTGCAACAGTGTATGTGACAGGTTTCATAGTTTGTGGCAGCTGCCTCTGTACAGTAATTAAAACAGGTTGGCTAGATAGGGGAGATCCTGTAAAGAAAGGTAGAAAGAAATCCTTTTTAAAAGAGCCATGATTCCCCCCCCTCCCTTCAAGTAATTTTCTAACTACTCAGAGATTAATCCAGTGGGGTTAGGAATTATTATCTCTTCATATCAGGTTAAAATTCATTGCTATGTCACTATTAGTACTACTAGTACATTATAACCTGATTTTTTAAAAAAACCTTATACATAAAATGTTGTGCTGCTATATTTCAGTGACAGAATACATCCACTGAAGGTGGAACACAGTGGTGGGTTGCTACCGGTTAGCCCCAGATTGGGCGAACCGGTAGCAGCAGCGGTGGGAGGCTCCGCCCAGACGCTTTCTGTGCAGAAACATCACGTGCAAGCACCCACGAGCAAACCAGTAGCAATGGGTTTTGAAACCCGCACCTGGTGGAACATATATTATTCATTTTCTAGCACTTCTAGGTATGTCTCAAAAAGTTCTTTGTTTTTTCCTTTCTGCAGACTTCATTCTATACTGTTTAACTGTCAAAATAAAACAATGCATTTACAGATAGTCCTCAATTTATGACCATTCATTTAACATTGTTTTAGTTACAATGATGCTAAAAAGGTGACTTACAACCAATCCCCACATTTATGAATGTTTCAGCATCCCTGCAGTCACATGATCAAAATTTGGGTGCTTGGCAATTGGCCTGTATTAATGATGGTTGAAGCACGCTGGGGTGTATGTGTCACATGACCTTTATCTGTGGTATGGAATGTAGTGAGGAGATGATTCCCCAGAAGGGAGGAAGTGCATTCCAGAAGAGTAAGAGATAATTTAGCCCAGGTATCATGTGTGAGAGAAAGGGAATGAAGCCAGCCCCTCCTAATAGTTCACACTGTAGATGCAGAGTCCTCAGTCTGGCAAGATTGATCTCAGGCCCAAAATCAAAAATTATATGGAAATACTTCCAAGCTGGGTTCTTTATATTTCACACCTACAGATAATTCCTGATGGATGCTATGGTCTTCCAACTTGGAACAGGCATAATAGGTACATTTGAATCCAATACTTCTTTTCAGCATTAGAATTTGCTGCCGCTGCCAGCAGTAATCTCAGTGGGAAAGACTTTGATCCAACATCAGCTTATTGTTGAAGCCATTAAAACTTCCTCTAGAAGTGCTGATGACAATGGCACTGAACAATTCTGGTTAATTTTTTCAAAAAAAAATTTCTAAAAAAAAAATATTCTGGTGTCGAAAAAGTCTGCTTAATTCTTCTTAGTTCCAAGCTTACCTATTCCAATTTTTTTAAAAAAAGAGATTCATGGCAGTCTAATTGGAATAAGAACCACTTTGGATACAATACGTCTCCTGCCTCACCTCCGTTTCATTACAATCTCACCTCTGCCATGCATTCAACCATGGAGGTGGGGGAGATTGAGAGTAATGAGGTAAAATACCTACAGCTCTAGAGCGAAGGGCCACTTTATAGACTCCCATCCAGTGGCGAAATCCCAATTATTTTACTACCAGTTCTTTGGGCATGGCTTGTTGGGCGCGGTGTGGTGTGGCTTGGTGGGTGTGGCAGGGGAAAGATACTGCAAAATTTCCATTCCCACCCCACTCCAGGGGAAGGATACTGCAAAATCTCCATTCCCACCCCATTCTGGGGCCAGCCTGAGGTGGTATTTCCCAGTTCTCCGAACTACTCAAAATTTCCGCTGCTAGTTCTCCAGAACCTGTCAGAACTTGCTGGATTTCACCCCTCCTCCCATCGCTCCGCAGGCTATGAGAAAAATTAACCCTTTCTCCTCTGAGGTTTACATGAACTGGCCAGGATGTTAGTAATCTAGTAAAATGGGGTTGTTTGTGGCTACCTGGGGGGGGAGGGAACCGGGTGGCACAAGTGGCAGGCTAATGCACATGAGCACTAGCGCAGTTTAACTTATGAGCAGCGAGCTGGTGTGTATGCACACGCACACGGTTGATTTGCACAAGTAGAGCTGCATGAGTATGCATGTGCACCGGCCCACCACTCGCACAAATCAAGCTGGAGATGCATGTGCGCCAATCTGCCACTCGCATGGCCCAGTTTCAAATAGGTTATGGACGGTAGTGAACCGTGGCCTGGGGGTTGGGGACCCCTGGTCCACATGGTCCAGAATTGTTGCTGTAATCCAGCAACATGAAAATGCGATAAGCTACAGACCTGTGCTATTCACTGTTGGGAAGCAACAACGTTCATCACAGCTTATTTCACTATGAATTTATCAGCCATAATTTAGTATGAGGAAACATTTATATTATGTCTTATATATTATATATTTATCCAATCTTTACCTCTAATAGCTAAAAGGGGTTTATATGGGATTGGCACAGTCACCCAATGAATTTTCATAACTAAAGTTGGACTTGCATCTTGCTCTCACCCGCCCTAGTTCAACATTTTAATACTACATAACATTGCCACCACTAAGGTAATATATTTTATTTTCATGTAAAATTTCTAGAATCCTTGTATTTTAAATCATCCACAGAATATTCTTGTGTAATTTTAGTACATAAGCACTGCGTGAAAATTTCACCTGGAGCACTCTGTGCAAATCGTGCTTCTTGTATTACTGCTAATTTTGGCTGGATACTGCTTGGCTCAGGCTCCATTGGGACAGGTGACCCTTCCCTTGACAGGCTTTCTGGGGTTTGCACACCACTCGAATGAGCAGATAATACTCCAGAATGATTAGGAGAAGCTGGGGCACTTCTGCAAATAAAGAACAGAAATGGCCACTTTTAGATACAAAATTAATAACTATTATCATAACCCACAAAAAAATTTCTGATCCGTACACTTTCCACAGGGAGGATTTTTTGCTGTTTAAATAGCAGTCAATGTTCTTGATTATAGAAGTTTTATAGAGGTAACTTAAAGGCAGGCAAAGTATTTATTCAGAAGTACAGAATAAAACAGTGGTATAAACGGGCCAGAATTTAATGAGAATTTTAATAATAGAAACACATGTCCTACATTCTATATTTAAAGTAAAATACTTTAATCTTGGTTTTTCCACTCAATTTATATTTGTATCTTCTCTAAAACACAAGACTTATTTTAAATAAACAGTTCTTCACCAAGATGCATGTTTCAGACAATGCCTAAGTAATAAATTTCAGTTTAAACAAAATTTAAATGTAATTCAATTGAAGCAAGAAATGAAAATGAAATGTTATTTGTACTCCTCACCTTAAAACTATAAATTCCATCTTTTACTCACTTCTAATTCAAGTCTTTTTTGATTCTTTAAACTATTAATTTAACAAATTATTAAATTATTCCAAATACTTAACAGGATAAAAGTCAATTTTAGTTTCCAATCATGTCTTTTTTACGAGAATGTGAATGTATTCAAATTTTCATAGAGAATATGCTGCTGGGGAATTGTAATTTGGAGCATAAAAGCAATGTGTGACTGGAAAAGGTTAAATATTACGTATTACTTTCTTTTCTCTCTGCTGTTTTCTTTAATCCCAAGCACTTTTTCCAGGTTTTTTTTTTCTTTTTTTTAAATGGCTGAGACTATGAGGAAAATATCAAGTGATTGTTTTGCTAAAAGTAAACATAAAGTCTTTCTTTCATTAAGATTGACTTTTGGTGACTATATGGATAGTCTGAAAGAAGAATATGTTTCTTGGCAACAATATAGCAGTTGCTTGTTACTGCCTTTTTCAGGAATTTAATTTTCTGTTTTCCAATATAATCTACAGCCTGGACATCTTTTTATAGTTTCCCATTAAAGTACAAACCAGAGCTTTCTGCAATCAGCTCAAGTTGACTAGGTGATTTTATAGGGTGCAATAAGTGTTTGTAGGTAACACCAAACTGTGAGCAGGCTGATTACAAACGAGTCTCCAGTCATGAACCAACTGCATGTGTAACAGCACAATATGTACACTAAGGGAATTAATCCGACTATCCCCAGTTATTGCTTCTATGATTCCTGCACTGGACAGTGGGTTGGAATATATTATCTCCAAGGCTCATAACCTTACATTCCATTATTTTAAGATAAGAAATGAAACATGCTGCATTTACACAAACGACAAATGGCAAAGAAATTAGCATGACTAGAACAGTGGAATGTTCATACAGCAAGAATTAATCCTTTTCTTCCAGTTAACATAACACATTGAATAAAGATTAAGTAAGACAGTCTAGGTTTACATAATAGGCTAAGCCACAAGAAAATCTAACCAAGGTTAGTATTAATATGTTATTTATTCATATAAACTGAATAAATAAATCAATAATTACGCTTAGTATATTATGCAAATACATTTGCTAGATCTTTAAAGTGTGAATACTATCGGTAACAACTCCAGGGAACATTTCTTCCTTAGATGTAATCATAAAAGAACCATCAAACCTCCTCAAGGAGAAAATGTTAATAGTTTCCTTTGTGCCCCAATCATTTATTTGATAAACATCTCTGTTGTTTAGACAAGCAATGATCATCCTTCAGTCAATAGACCCTGAAGTGCACTTAAAGGAAAGCCTCTGGACTGCTATGCTTAAGTTGTCGTCCTCAATACCTTACCTAGAAGAAAGAGGTCCCAGTGGGGTTCTAAAGCAAGGTACTCCCCTTGGCCGCCTTTTTCTAAAAGCCTGTTCTATTAATTTGCTTTCAGAGGCAGGATCTATCCTCCAGAAGGAACCCTTGCCTGGTTCTTCCTGGGAACGTGGTACTTTGATGAAATAACGATTCAGAGAGAGATTGTGACGTATTGAATTCTGTGAGTCATAAAAGAAAACAAAGAAATCATCCATCTCAGTATTAAGTTGGAATACATTCTAATAAAAAAAAATCCCATTTAGAACTGCTCATATTCTTAAACTGCTTTCTTATTCTTAGGTCCTTGGTTAGGACTTGAAAAATTGACTGAGTGTGTTTAACTGTAGACAATCCACATATAACAACAAAGATCTGCAAACAAAAGTAGAACAACTGTTGCAAAAAACCAAAGATATTAAGAATAATAATAATTGGCATATTGGATACAATCACAAAACATCTGGTGTACTACTTGAAAAACCACCGGCATTGACAAAATCTCCATCATTCAATTGCAAAAAGCAGCTTGGAACAGCTTAAATTCTGTGACGATATCTTTACCACCATATCAAATAACAAATCTGCTTATCCCAGATCCTTGGGAACAACTCAGCAGGTAGATAAAAATGCCAAATCCAGTTTAAACATTAGGTTGATTGTACAACCACCACCACCAACAACAATAATAATTTTAAAAAAACTTCAATATATACAGTCAACATATGTTAATGTGAGCAAAACAAGATGACCATAGACTTTTTTTCAGAGTTCAGACATTCAAAGGCAATAGGAATTAGGATGAATCTATAGTAATATAAAGTTATTGAAATTGGAATGAATGTTATTTGGTTTCATAAATGTAAGGATTGTATTATGAGCACATTGTACAAAACAATGCACATATAATGACATTCCTTATACCATTAATATTAAACTGTTCAATTTTAATATATTCTTCCTATATGTAAAGATATTTCAACATCAAATTTCACAATCAAAATTAGATTGTATAGAAATATAAATGGCACAATTTGCAACTAAAAAAAGTTGTGAAGTAAACTATTTTATGAAGAAATTCTATGGGAAAGGAATAGTTTACAAGAACAGGTAAGAACCTCAAAGTACCATGTTTCCTCTGAAACATCACAAAGCTACTCCTGGTTTAGACAATCAATTTCCAGAAAACGCTAGACCACTCCTGAAGTAACTAGATTGATGTGATCTTAAGGAAGAAATAGCTCTCCAGAATTATCTCTCCCCAAAATAATCTACCCAAACTATACTTTGCAGATGCCTAGCTTTAATTCACCATAGTTAGCTCATTTCATTTAAAACAATATTAATAATTTTTACCTGCCAGCCCTTGTCTGCTGTCCTGTAGTAAGGATAATTTTTAGTTATGTGCGTATAAATTCCATTTAGTGTAAGTTGCTTATCAGGAGCCATTGTAATTGCTTGTACAATTAGTTGTGCATAGGAATAAGGTGGCTTTGAATCATCCTAAATATTAAAAATAATAACATAATGAAAATAGCTCATCCCTCCAGGAGCATTAGAAATATAACACCAACTTTATAATTTAATACAAAGGACATTATCACTTGAGAGATACCATCATACACATTTAACAACTTTTTCATTTTTATTACATATTTGCATTTTCAATTTTATCACATACAGAGCTCTGCCTGCCACAATTCATTCCAAGTATAAAATACCTCTAATGTGCTTTACTGTTACCATGCCCTTTTTCTCTTAGTATATTCACCCTGCAACTCCTAAGCATATTGTTCGTTATGTAGGGACTAAGTTCAGCCTAAAATAACTAGAGAATGCTAGTTTGGCCTACCTGAAAACTTCAACTAATCAGCACTCACTTTCATGCTGCTTCCTGAGTATACAGCTCTCTACTTGCCAATCCACCCATTTCTATAAATTTATAAATAGCAAAAATAATTATTTAAAAGAAGCACAAAAAAGCATCATGTAGTGCATGATTTTGTTTTTCTGTATTTGTGGCCATTTATCTTTGGGTTCACAACTCACAAACTAAGCTAGTCTGCTGTTCAGGTAGGGGCAATTAGCAGATTGGGGAATTGCAGCTAAAGTACAAAAGCCAAACATGCTTCTCTTTTTGGCAGAACAGCATTTTTGTTTATATACTTATTTGTTAATTTATATGCCACCTTTATTGCAGGATCTCAAGACACTTTTTACCTTTATCAATGCAAGAAGAATACTATGAGATAGGCCCATGATGGCGAACCTATGGCGCGCATGCCACAGGTGGCATGTGAGCTCAGCTCCTCGGGCCTTCTGGGCCCACCAGAAGTAGGAAACAGGTTGTTACATGCCTGAGGGCTTCGGGGTGGTGGTGGGGAAGACTCATTTTTCTCTCTCCCCAGCCTCCAGAGCCTTTCTAGAAGCCTGGGGAAGGCGAAAATGGCCTCCCCCCCCCCCCGAGAGGCTGGAAACGGCCTGTTTCCCAACTTTTGGTGGGACCCGAAGCTGTTTTCGCCCTCCCCAAACTCATAGAAAGGCTCTGGAGCCTGGGGAGAGAGAAAAACAGGTCTACCGGGCCCACCGGGCCCACCGGGCCATCACGTGCCAGGAGCAAGGTGGGAGAGGGGGGGTCGCATGTGCAGGGCGCATAGAATTATGGGTGTGGGCACACGTGTGTGCGACCCCCACCCCTGGCATGTGATGGCAAAAAGGTTAACCATCACTGAGATAGGCTAAATAGAGAAGCTGCAAGTCTAAGAGTTTCTCCTTCTAAATCTTGCAAGTATTGCCTGGTTTCTGGTAATCATGCTAGCTTAATATCATCCAACAGTTTATCACATGTCTAGAAGAGAAATGAGGTAAAAAGCATGGACCACAGCAGAAAGTGTATCCATTCAAAATACAGACATCCATGACAGTAGACGTTCTCCTGTAGCAGAAGCAAGACGAGAAACAAGAAGGGGAGGGGAGGAACCCTCATATTTTTTTTAAAAAATGCCATATTGTACGGCATGTTACCACTTCGCTTCTAGCCAGATATGTGCAACTTGTTTGGGATACCATCACAATTTACAACCATGATTGGCATGCTCCAATAAATCAAAGATTACCAATTAATCCAAACGTATTTTCAGAATCCTCACCTGAGGTCTTAGGCTCATGTATAAACACACGCACTACTAATATATCATTAAAAACTGTTAAGTTTGAATATGCTTTTCTCAATTTTGAATGTGGTAAAATAAGCAGCTTACAAAATGGCTTTTTTCTTTGCTTTTTATGCTATCCAAATTTCAGCCATACGTTTATGTAAGCTTTAAGTTCAATGTGAATATCATAGGATCTATTTTAGTTTTCAGTCTGAACTGCTACACATAAACTTTATTTCTGTTTACTTTTCAAAGCAATATTTTTCAATTAACTTCTAATGTATTACTCGGTAACTGATTTTACAAATTGATTCTAATCAAAAGAATCTCACCTTTGGGCTATCTCCACCAGATGCTTCTTTATCATTTTCTGACTGTGAATTGTCAGCCATAAGATGTAAGTCAGATGGTATTACACGACTCATTTTGTACCCTGAAGAACCTGCACCACGAGGACTAGATGGGCAGGAATTTGCAGCACTGTAAAACAGTATGAAAAGAGTTGTCTATTTCATCACAGAATATATATCATTGTAGCCAGTAATTTCCTTCAGCTAAACATAATTTCCTGAACAAACATTCTCCAGCTGTCTGAGTTATACTGACATTAGTGAGGAATGACAATTAAAATGATACAGATTTTCCTTCTGTATTATCATCAGAATATATATTTATAGAAACATCTTTGCAAATATTGCCTCTATTCCAAAAACAATCCCTTGAGATTAAAAACAGGCTAATTCTAGATTTTCAATGACAGGCAAGATTGAACAAATCTATTTGCCTTTACTATAAAACACTTGCCCTTATGGTAAGTGTCCGCTCTTCCTCTTAGTGTAATGTTTGGAAGAATCAGATTATAATAATTATGCCAGAATAAATGTTATTAAAAGTATAATATTAAATCTAAAGACTTGATATTAATAAAACACATAAATTATTATAAACCTGCCAAATAATAGTAAGTTTTAAGAAGGACTACCATATCTGGATTCCAAAAATAACATGAAACCATTTTCAATGAGTTAGAACTTCTGGTATCTCTTTGTTACTATCTTAGTGATTATTTGGATTTTTGCAGCCTATATATGGTAGCCCTAGTTTTAATCCTAGAATGATGAATTTAAGATAGGTATCACATGGTCATTACTATTGCTAGCAGAATTATAATTCCCCAACAGATTTTTATCATTTTAATCAATTCATTTAGAAGAATTTGTATTAAAACAAGGTCATAAATAGGTTATTTATTAATAGGAGATTCTAAAGTAATTTTATTATAATATCCCAGAAATATTTTTGAAATTTATCAAATAACTTAGTCTTAGCTGAAGAAATCTGTCTGCATTCCAGGGTAATTAAAACAGAAAATGTTCCTGCTGTTTCAAAATGGTGTTTGAAAACACAGCCCACAATACCTTTGATAGACAGGGGTTCATATAAACACACTTAATAAAAAGATGAAAATATTTTTAATAATGCACTTTACTGCGTTATAAAGATGTTAACAACAGTATTCGTAATATAACTTAAAACTTTTTGCATTTTGGAATGACACATTTTAAGATGCTATAAGATATTTTTAACAGCATATTTTTAAGACTATGAATTCCACTAAAAAGCTAATATTTGGGATTTTTATTTTTCTTGCGGAAAGTCTTAAGTATGTAATGCTTATATACAGTATGAATGCTATAAATAACAGAGTTACAGAATATATACATTTAATTTATAAGCATAGATGTTCCATAGGAAAAAAAACATTTCTGAGTTCCTTCATATCTGAGCACTGTTTTTTATCAGGGCAACCTGTTCTACCCAAATATTGGATGCAGCATACTGCTTCCCCTTTATTTTTTTGTCAGTAAATATAAATTTAAAATCTGAGCACTGGTTAACATAAAGAACTAGTTACTTTCCCCACGAGAAAAATGAATATGGTCACAATTACCTCTCCTGGGGCATGTTGTTTATGTTTTATTCAGCCTGAAAATGATGTTTCTGATTTTACATGAAATAATGTTTTTTCTGATATCAAGAATCACAAAAGATACTCTCATAACTTTGGCATATTTTTAAATTAAATTAAGTAGTTTTTTTTAATCATACAATATACTGATCTGGTTCACATATAACACCAAGTTATTGTGCAGGATGCCTCATTGACAACATATCCCCTTCTAGTTGCAAACCTTGCCTTATATTGTCAGATAGTGATGACAATTTTCTGCAGTAGCTTTTAAAGAATGGAAGAGATATATTAAGAATGATACATAATAAAATATTTGCACAGAATGATGCACAAATACTTTTTGTTCTTAGTTAAACCATTTCTCAAATATTTTAGAGACAAATACTTCTGTTTTAATTTTATAGTTTTAGTACACATACTTGTGTACATAAGGCAATTAATTATGATCTGTATCAAGGAATATTAGGTTAACCTTAGTTTGAACAAACTGTTATTGTAACAAAAACTTTCATCAAGCAGCTTGCTGCATGCAAAAATTATTCCAAATGCTATTTTCACATTTCATGTTAAATTATGAGTCCATTTAAAGAAATCAGAAGACCAGACAAAGAATAAACTCTTCTGCTCTCAGCATTATTTCTCTCAGTAAGGCTAGCTGGCAGTTAAGCACTATCACTACATGGAGCTGCCCACTCAGAAACCACAGTTAGTCCACAGTGCAGCAGCCTTGCTATGCCTATGTAACACCTCTGCTTCGTGAACTGCAGAAAATCTTCAGATGAAATGCAAGATGCTAACTACTATCTATAAAGCTCTGTGTGAACTAGGACCAAGTTATTTGGAGAACATTTGTCTCTGATAGTATCTGCCTACTCTCTATGATCAGATAGAATGGTTTACTTCAGGTCCTAACAATTAAACAATGACATCTAGTGGGTTAGAGTGCCTGATGGGTCCCTCTAGTTTGGAACGTATGAAATATTTTTTCAATTGTTTCCTCAGGACAAATTTTAATATTACATTGCTTTTTTAATTATGGGTGAAGCCACCCATAAGTTGCTTCTGGACTTGGGCAACTCACAATCAGATGAATACATAATAAGTAAATAATAATACATAACAGATACATATTAAGTCCCCATATGTATACATTTCTTTCTCGTCAAATAAGGCCCCACATATTTACATTCCTTATGTCTAAATAGGTCAAGCCCTGCACCATCTTTAATTTAACTAAGAATGATTGCTGGAGTTTCATCTAATGCCAATAAACATGATTAAGTGGCATTAGAAAAAAATCAAAAATAATTTGCTCCAAGGATAAGTTAAATGTGATTGCAGAATTTAAAATTAGTAATTAATTAATTACAGATTAATATTACATTTTTTGTAGTTCTACGATAAACCTAAATGCAGCAAAACAATATAAAAATACCTGATGGTTCCTGTGGGAGAGGGAAGAGGGCTGATCAAGTGAGCCATGTTGTCTGGAATGTTTATTGTTAGGGGAGAAATCTGGGGTTGTACAGGTTTCACTGGGGACTGTGGGGACTCCTGTTTTTCTCTCTTTTCATTGGATAAAGCTGTAAATGTTATCTTGATGTTTGTGCTGGGAAACCTGAATGTACACCTGAAAAGTAAAAAACAAAGGGTGTTAACTAACTGAAATTATGGTTTTCTGTATTTTCATAATTTTAACAGCATTCATATTAATAAAAATAGTAAAAAAGAAAAAATGCTCAATTGTTATAAAGCTACATAATGAATATACTTGTAGTAAGAATCAGTGGTAAATACAATCACATTCATTTAGAAATTTGTTCTTTTGTGGATTTTACTTTTAATTTTTATATAACAAAACTGCAATCGATAATCATTTAATAAATTCTGAAGTGGCATAAAAACCAGCATTCAATTTGTCTCAAAATGATTTAAGCTCTTAAATCAGTAAACTATGAGGCTAACGCTTTAAGACTTATTCTCAAAGCAATGTTGTACAATGCTTCACAAAAATCAGGTGATTCAGAATAGTACAAAGACAATATGGAACATCTTTGCAGATCACATCAATCCATCCTCATCCACCCTTCTTCCCTATCTGGATTTGTGTTTTTAAAAAATAAAAAATGTAAGTGTATTAAGGGAATTTTTTTGCAGCCATATTTTTTGCCACTGAAAATGTTAATAACAGTCTTATACTGACATATGGGTCTAGTATATGACAACAAGGACTATCTCATCCCACTTGAATTGGCCTGCCCTACCCGTGCTGACAGAGGAGGCCCCATCGGCCAGGGAATTCTGGCCGGTGGGGTCCAGGAGAAAAGCTTTCTCTGCCATTGTGCCTGCCCTTTAGAATATCTTGTCTCCCCAGAGTGAGGTCGGCTCCAATCTCCTTACCTTTGGTAACAGCTTAAAGATCTGGCTCTGCCAGCTGGCTTGGGGCTCCAACAGAGGGATTTCACATTAGGGGTGGTTGAATAGATTAACAAAATTCCACACCCCTTCTCATCATACTCCTTCCCTCCATCTTTTTAGCTAGGCTGATTTTATAGAATTGTGTTTATATTATTATAAATTATACAATTTTAACTTTTAATATTGTAAGTCACCCAGATTTACTCTGTGGCAAGATAGGCAGTTAATAAATGTTACAAATAAATAAATATTAACATTTAGGTCATTCTGAACATATTTATAAGGATTTCTTCAAAACATAGTATGAAATTAAGATAAAGTCAACTGATGGACTTCTAAGGGAACCCACCCCATTGACTAAGGCTAAAATATCTGAAGATTTCCTTACTTTCTTTTTTTAGGTCAAAATGGTTTACAAATAAATCCTATTTAAACAGAAAAATATTTCTCACACAGTATTAAAGCCTTATAATTATATGGACAGACTCAGAATTGCCTGAAATATAATTATTTATAAAATTTCATCTCCATATCAGTTTGGCCCATTATATCCTTAAGTTAATTTCCTTTCCAAACATTTCAGGGTTTTTTTCTACAAAAGAAAAACTAATTACAATTATACGTGGCCAACAGCACTTTTAAATGATGTCTTAACCTACAAGGACAGCATTGCTTATCTACAAGAAACTCATTTAATCGAACATGACAAATCTTAATAATGAAGGAATGGGTGGGAGAGGTTTGCCTCACAAATACTTTGACAAAAACTAAGTGTGACCATTCTGATTCAAAAAGATATTCAATTCATGTACAACACGTTATTTGATGTAATAACAGGGATTCTAATAAATATGGTTAATGTTTATAGGCCTAATTTAAAGATCTCTTATTATGTTTTATGAATGTTTTCAATATTGAATGAGTGAATTTAATGATTAAAGTGGTAACAGGAGTTTTTAATAAAATATTGGATCCTCAACTTGGAAAAAAAAACAACTGGTGAGAGAAACAATCACAATTCATAGGGAGAATAATTTCTTCCTTGCGCTGCTTAGATAGTCCATCGAATGGGTTAATCCTCATCTGATTGGCCAGAGACTGAGTAAGAGTTTATTTAAACACACCTCCTCTTCCTGTTTAGCTCCCATTCCTTACTCAGTGCGGCCTTTAGAGACTTTTTTCTTTTAGCTCCATTCACTGGACTTTCTAAACTTGGAGAATTTCAACATTTTCATTATTTTTCATCTGGCTAAGAGCCCATTGATCTGCTGGCAGTTTGGGAGGTCCCGATCGATGGAGCGCCACTCAGTTGAGCCGCAGCTTTGCCGGCGGCGGTTTGGATTTCTTTTAGCCGCTTGCCGCCATTGGCACTAGGACTCCTTTGACTGCGATTTCAACCTAATTGGCTGTCTGTGAGTTGCTGGGGGAGCGCGTGGGAGGCCGTGTTGTCGGTCTCACAATGTGGGGATTGAGGATAGCTCCGTGTTGTCAGAGCTCAGTTCTCCCTCGCTTTGCCCGCATCGCCATTACTCCAGGGACTGTTCTGTCAGCTCTGGTTCTCTGCAGGCTCAATTCAGCTGCCAAAGGGGCGGTGTTGTCTACCGTGCGCCATTTGACTGTACGAGACTCTGGGCACTTCAGGAGCTGTTCTGTCGGTTCCGCGCTCTCCCACAGGGGCTTTCTAACATTTGTGGAGCTGTGTTGCCTGCTCCCAGTCATTTGGCCACCATTTTGTGACGCCTGAGGGCTGTGTTGTCGGCCCTGCACCATTTTGTCTGGCACCGTGTGAGGCTTTTCTATAACGGGGCTGTTTTTGCCAGTCTTGCACCATATTGCCCCAGTTGGACTTTCTTTTGGGGGCGGGGGCTCTGCAGCATTTCTCCGACTTGCCTGCCTATCCCTGCTGGCCCTGCCACTATTTGTTTTGTTCAGGAGTTTTTTCGCTGCCTGCACTCCTGTATATTCAAATATTATTTCAGCCATTATTCCTTCCAAGATGGCCGATCGCAGTTGCTCCCCATCCAGGAGATCCAAATCTCCCTCACAGCACAGGGGCAGATCCAAAAACAAGCATTCCTCCAAAGCTAAAACATCTCAAACTGCACCTTCTACTTCTTCTACTGCAGCAGAAAAGGATGCTAGGAGAAGGCATCTGGCGCTAACCAAACAATTTGACAAGGCAAAGAAGCAGGCAGAAACCATCATCCAACCTTCACCACCCACAATGGCAGCTCCATCCACCCCAGCCTCGGGGCAAGACACCTCCATTCAGACTCACCAGGATATCTCTTCCTGATCTCCAAACATTTCTTCTGAGGCTCAAGAGGACCAGACCGTTGTCAGAGAGGTCTTTTCTCAAGGAACTGATTCCACCTCGACTATGGCTAGGCAACCACGTGCTTCTAAACCATCTGCCACCGTCACTCCTACGGCAGCAGAGCTCCGCCCAGAAGAGGGCCATACCTCTACCATCCCTCAGAAAATGTGCGACCTCATTGCACAAACAGTGGCTAGAGGCATTGACATGGCCCTCACCCAAAGGGGAATTCTGGCCCCATCATCTGCTCCTGTTCCAACACAACGGTCCTCCAGGGCTTCATCCCATCTGGATAGTGATTCTTCTTCAGCCGCCCATTCCCCTTCACCTTCTCACCATAGTGACCAATCGCTCCTCGATGAAGAGGAGGCCTTTGATTACAGCCTCTCTGGTGATGAGGAGGAAACCCCATCGGTGAGGCCCTGTTCCACGGGTCTCTTCCAACATGAGCTGTTTAAGACCTTATTACATAAGGCCAAAGTCACTGCCAATATGGGAGTTTCCCTGGCACGCACAGAGGATTCTTCGGATCCCTGTGACTCCAACAAGCTACTTTTTACAGAGGCTGTTACTGAACAGGATGTTGTACCATCCCCAAAACTCTTCATTGATACCATCCAACGCCAATGGGCCCAGCCCAGTCCCATATCAACACCAAGTGGGCTGGACAAAAAGCTGTACACGGTGGAGCAGGAGCTCGAGGACCTCAAGCTCCCCACAGTTGATGTTCCCATGGCCAGCCTGACCTCTCCCAGCATCCTACCATCTATCTGATGCTGCCGAGGGCCTTCATACAGAGGACAGACGGGCCGAAATCTCTACCTGTAAGACCCAACAGGCTGCTGCGTGGGCTATCAAATCAGCTACAGCAGCCTCCTTCTTCGCCAGGACGTCCCTCATTTGGCTGTCAGATGCAGGCTAGAGCGTCTCCTGAGGATGCTTGTTTACACCAGGACATCAATAAGATGATCGCCATTTTTAAAATGTTTAATATAAGATTATACTATTTTAAAAGGTATAGGTGATAAAATGTTTAAAATTTTAAAATGTTTAATTTAGAATTTTTAATGCTGAATAATTAGAAATTGACAATTGGTTTATGAAGGAATAAAGAGGATAAATGTTTAACTTAGAATCTTACTAGGAAGCAATGTTGAAAAAGAAAGGTGTTTGAGGGATGAAAATGAAACTTATTAGTGTTTGTTAACGCTTGTAATATTGTTAAAGTTATTGGATTACATACCAAGAAAAAGGCTTTTATATTCAGGAAGAAAGAATTTAACCCAATTGATTTTGAGAATTTACAAAAGGGAGGTTGATGAATTTGTAAAAGAGGAGTTAAAGAGTGTGAGGGAGTTTTAAACTTTGTAGTAGGTTAGTATATTTTAGCTTTTGCTTGTTAAATATGATACCCTGTTTTTGCTCTGGGAAGTCGGGGGGTGGGGAGAGGGGGGGATAAAATTGTTGAATAGATAAAGGTACAAATATAAAAGTAAATGTGGGGAAAATGTTATAACAAATGAAATGATAATATCAAGATATGATAAATATTGGAGGAGTAAGAGGAAAAAAGATGTATTCAGATGATACACTGATTGATTGATTATATATTGTATGTATGCTTGTTTATAAAATAAAAACTTTTCAATAAAATAAAAATAAGATGATCGCCGCTACGGAGTATACTGCGGATGCAATTCTTAACTCAGCCAAATTCGCTTTGCGCGCTCTGGCTTCCAACATCACATCTCGCCATCTTCTCTGGTTACGCCATTGGGAGGTGGACAGGAGGACCAAAGGGTGTCTCGCTGCGGTCCCCTTCAAGAGTGGGTCCCTCTTTGGAGAGGCCTTGGACCCAGTCTTAGTTAAAGGTAGGGACAAAAGAAAGGTCCTCC